CATTCTAAACTCTTAAATTCTTCCTGGGGCTTGAACTCAGGACCTGGGAGCTGTCCCTTTGAGCCACAGCGTCACTTCGGGTTTTCAGGTGGTTAATTGGAGACAGGAGTCTCACAGACTTTCCTGTCTCTGCTGGCTTTGAACTGCAATCCTCAGATCTCAGCCTCCTGAGTTAGCTAGGATGACAGGCGTGAGCCACCGGTGCCTGGCTTAAATTCTGAATTTTGAAACACATGTGGCCAATGAAAGGCTGACTTGTGAACTCTTGGAGACTGCCTTTCAGATTCTTGCTCTTAGATGGGTTGAATCTTTTACTGTTCCTCCTCTGTTTGCCTTCTTCATCTGTTTCTTCTACCCATGATCACTTGCTTGATATCTAACATGGCGGTCTTGGTGAGAGGTGGTGGGAAAGAAGAGGTGGGGGCTGGGTGGAGGAAATAGGTAACAAGGGGAAATTTCTGCAAAGATACGCCATGTTCCTGGCTTTCCTCCAGCACCTCCCCTACTTTCTGCTTGCTGGAGGCCATGTGGTGAGCAGTCTCCTCTATCACATGGAAAAAGACCATGGCTTTCTGCTTCATCCGGGGCCCAAAGCAATGGATCCAACCAACCATAGACCGAAGTCTGTGAAGTTGAGAGCTAAAGTTAATCTTCACTCCTTGAAACTGTTTATGCCTTTCCATACTTGTCATAGCAACAAGAACAACAGCAACAACAAAAAATGCTAACATGGTTGATTAGGAAATTGTATGTACTTCAGAACTTTGGGGGAAAAACATGGTCATTTCTTGTATGTGTTTGTCTATAGCTATTAGACATGTGCTTAAGTAGCTTTGGGAAATTAGCAAATTGATGTTTTATGTTCTTCCTCTGATTATTACTTTCAAGCATGTGGTTCCAGAAATATTACCTTACTACATACACCCTTCTATTCAGGATAATTTAGCTTACTTGGAAAGATTAAAAATAAATTATGGCTAGGCACTGGTAGGTCATGCCTCTCATCCTAGCTACTCAGGAGGCTGAGAGCTGAGGATCATGGTTCAAAGCCAGCCTGGGCTGGAAAGTCTGTGAGACTTTTATCTCCAATTAACCACCAAAACAAAACAAAACAAAACTGGAAGTAGTGCTGTGGCTCAAAGTGGTAGAGTACTAGCCTTGAGTAAGCCCTGAGTTCAAGCCCCATGACAGACCAAAAAAAAATATGCTTAAGTATGTTGAAGTCTCAGAAAGCATTTTAGTACTATTAAAGACCTGTAGTCTAATTGTACGGTTATCATTAAATACGCTGCTCTATTATATCCTTTGATATTTACAATGTTTGCGAACTGAGCTACATTTGAAAAAGAATGGTTCAAAGATGACAGTTTTAATCTGTGCATCCTGTGTGTATGTGTTTCCATGTTTCTTGGGCTGTTGTGTTTTAGCAATTTGCAGTGGGAGCCAGGTGTTTTTAGGAGCTGACTGGGCTCTTGCTGGACACAGATTGGCCTGGTTTCATTCATCAAGGTCTGTGTCCTGTGAATGTATTCTTAATTTTAACATTAATTGTGAATGCCAGTCTAACGAATAGTGCCAGATTTAGAGAAATAACCACAGTGTTGATTTCTGCGACACTGTTATAATGGCATTTCTCAAGGCATGTTTCAAAAGGTTTGCGTACTGTTACTTAGCATTTGGAGGTCTGTGCAGGTAATTCCTTTGGGACGCAGTGAAAATTCTTACTTCTCCTTGACAGTGGGAAACGGAGTCCTGACTCAAGCCTTTGCGGTTGTAAACTTGTTAACTTAGCAAAAGAGGATGTGGGATGCCTATGGTCAGCATGCCTGTCTAGGAAACGCAAGTATAGTATTGGTTCTTAATTCATGGTATCTCCACCTTTGTGTGTTGTGCAGATGAGTGTTACTGCTGACCACTTCCTCTATAAAACTTGCGTTCTTTGGTTTCTCTGTTTGGGGCTCTGTCTGTCATAAGGCACCATCACCCTTGTGTTTTTCTCCTCTCTTCTGTCTTCTGAGTTTCCTTCATGCATTTATCCTGCTTGAACTGGCCATGGACTGTCTGAGTTCTTTGACAGTCATTCTATGTGTATTTTGCTTGCCTGTCATTGCCATTCCCAGACTTTGAGTTATCATCTCAGTGACAAAATATCTCCAGATCACATCTCTCTCTGTCTCTGTATCTCTGTCTGTCTCTGTCTCTCTCTCTCTGTCTTGCCAAGACTGAGTTTATGATATCCTGTTAAATCTAGACTCCTCAGTGAATGGCTCCGGTTCTCTCTGATTGGGCTGGAACTAGTTCTGACACCTGCAGTCTCATTCTCTTTATGGAGTCCCTCAACTCAACATCATTACAAATATATCATTACAGTCTCTTAATCTGTATCAGCTGTCTTTTACTGACAGAGCAAGAAGATGCTAGATCTAAACAAAAGAGCTTCAGATGATTGCTTTACATACATGCATACCCACATATGCCTTAATATTGGATAGAAATGCATGGGTATAATCACTACTGGGATGAAATAATTACATTTCAGATACTTCTAGCAGGGAAAGCCAGGGAGATGTACATAGACTTTGTACTTTTTTTTTTTTTGGTTGTGAGGCCTGAATTCTGGTCCTAGGGCTGTCCCTCAGTTCTTCAGCTCAAGGCTAGTGCTCTACCACTCGAGCCACAGTGCCACTTCCAGTTTTTTCGGCTTATGTGGTGCTGAGCAATCGAACCCAGGGGTTCATGCATGCAAGGCAAGCACTCTACCAATGAGTCAATGAGTCACCTTCCCAGCTCTTGCACATTGTCTCTGAGTTTTTATTTCATGAGGCATATTACCAATACCTGTATGGATTATATCCTTTTAAAATGTGTTTATGTAGATTCTGGAGAAAAAGATTCTGGAGAAAAAGGACCAGTAAACCTGAGCATCAGGCAAACAACAGATATATAAATAAATATGTAAACATATACAGGGTTATATGCATAGATACATAAACATCTTATCTAAAGTATTGTGTATGTAGGGAAGAATTCCAATGATGAACTCTGTTGAACAACTAACAGTTAAATAAAAATGAATACCAGGAATCTAAGACGTGTGGTGTGCATGTGGGGGGAGGTTAAGGGGAGAGAGGGCAGCAAATGGAGAGAGGAAGGATGGGTAAACACGGCCCTACATCCTAGGTCAGAGAAAGTTATTATGAAGTAATGTATATGGGGGAAAGAAAAAGAAAACCCAGGGTAGTATATCAGCTCAAAGGCTTTTCACAATTATTTCCAGCAAGAGAAAAAATGAGGAGGTCAGAGATAAGACCCTCAAGCAGCATGGAAGACCACTTATTTAGCATTTATCCAATGTTTGCAAAACCCCTTAATGGATATGGTCTTGCAGGATTCAGGCTAACGATGCGGTCATAAAACTAGAGAGTTGATGTGGGCAGTGAAGTCCAATAACTGAGGTGGTGCTGAGTGACGTCCAAGCATTGATTTAATGTCTTCAAACACAAGGAGAGAACTGTGGGTGCTGAAGGAAATTACATTTATAATCTCAGAGGGTCAGCATGCACCGAGGACTGGCTGTGGAAAGATTCGCAAGTGACAGTTGATGTTTATAAGATTTTCATCTTATTCCCTTCTGCATTTTTCCTCTACTTTCTTCATAGGATAAAGAGAAATTCCCCAAATCTATGTAGTTTAGGCCTATCCGCTCTGCCTGAATTGCAGATGGAGAAAAATGTTGTTAACCATTATCCTGGAAAGCCTGGGCTGTTCTCAAATTTGAATTTGATAGTTAGATGCGAGAAAATGAATCAAGTTTCAGTTTCTCCTAAAGAAAAACCCTGGGTGGGGAGAGGGCACAGTTTGAATCAGAGTTCCTGACTGACTCAAAAGAGCTTTCTCTTAAACAATAGGCAGGTGCCATTCTGAAAGCCTCTTTCCTCCTTTGCGGTTCTAGTTCCAGTGTGGTGGTCCTGGTTCTATCAGACACGTGGGGCCCGCAGGTCAAACAATGCGCTGCTTTTCCATTAGCCAATTTCCACAAGTCAGCCGTGGAGGACGTTTGCTGTGAAAATTCCATTTGGCTCTTTGGCATTAGGTGGTTTCCTGTCAAGAAGTTGTCTAGCTGCTGTTAGTGGTTTGGAGAAGAAGGAACACTTACTTTTATTTGTTAAATGAAAGCTGAAGTTGGTCAGGAAGGGGGTGGGCAGAATGAGCTGTTGCTCTTACTGTGGTGTTTTACAAAGCATGGACTACATTTTTGTTGGTCTGGGTGTTTAGTATATTTTTACTCTGTGTGTGTGTGTGTGTGTGTGTGTGCGTGTGTGTGTGCGCGCGCGTGCGTGCCAGAATGGGTGCTTGAATTCGGGGCTTGGGCACTGTTCCTGAGCTTTTGTGCTCAAGGCCAGTGCTCTACCACTTGAGCCACAGCTCCATCTCTGGCTTGTCAGTGGTTCATTGGAGTTAAGAGTCTCACAGACTTTTTTGCCCTGGCTGGCTTTGAACTCTGATCCTCAGATCTCAACCTCCTGGGTAACTAGGATGACAGGCACAATTCACCAGGACTCAGCTCATCCATCTATCTGTCTGTCTGTCTGTCTGTCTGTCTATCTATCTATCTATCAATCAATCACTTTTAATTGACACATAGTAATTGTGCACATTTATAGGGTACAATGTGACATTTCTAGACACTCTCCAATCTGTAATGGTTGGGGCATGGTGACTGGCATTCACACCCCATGTAGTTACTATTTCTTTAGCTTATTGTTTCTCAGCTATTTTCAGTGGCATAGACAATTAATCGTTGTCAGCTACCCAGGCCCAACTCTGCTGGGATAGGTTTTTAACCTGTCGTCCATGGGGTGCTTAGGATACTATCTAAGAACTGATGTCTTGCCCTTAACCAGGGCAGATCTGTTTGAATTCGTTTTTACACATCTGTTGTGGGAAGGAACGCTGGGTGTGTTTCTACCGCACCAACACTTATTCTCGCTCTGGCCCCCAGGTGTCCCTGAAGTTCTCCCTGGAGGCTGCCTCTGTGGAGGAGTGGACCCCTGCTTCTCCATGGATCTGGATAAGTCGTCCGTCTGGGACTCCTTAAAACAGAAAACCAGGCCACTGTTACTCAACCTGAGCAAGAAGAAGGAGAAAAAGAGCCCCAGCAGACCGCTCGACTTGAGGGCCAGGCAGCGCCTGGACAGCCGCCTCAGCCTGTCTGTCCCCGACCTCCTGGAGGCCGAGGCCTTAGCCCCCGAAGGCCGGCCGTACGCAGGGCCTCAGTCCTCCTACACCTCGGTGCCCAACAGCCTGTCCACCGCCGGCATCCTGCCCAAGAGCAGCAGCAGCTCCCTGAAGCAATCGGAGGAGGAATTAGACTGGAGCCTGGAGGAAGCCAGTCATCTCCACGGGGCCGAAACAGACTCAGAGGACATTCACGGGTCTCCCGTGGGGGCCGGGCGCTCCTCTGGCCAGGGTGTCTCAGAGCTGGAAGGAAATGCAGCAGGAGAACTAGAGGTGAGACTCGGGGCTGGCCTCTTCCAGCCGCTGCTGCATTTTGTTTTGTTGTCTTCTTCTTTCTACCATGTGCATTCGTTGCCCTTGGAGCACACGGCTGGGCGCCTCTTCCTGTGGTTTTCCCGGAAGGGGAGAATGTGGTATACAAGAAGGGAAATTAATGTAATATTGATTGAATCTAGCATTCCATTCCTTGTACGGTTGACCTCTATGTGTTAGAAAACTATGACAAGCGACTTTTCTGGGATACTTTAAGACATTAAGAAACCCCACTGAATGAGCTTTTCTTTTCCCTCCCTCCCTCCCTCCCTCTCTCCTCTCTTTCTCTCTTTCTCTCTCCTTCCTTCCTTCCTTGCTTCCTTCCTTCCTTGCTTCCTTCCTTTCTTCCTTTCTTTTTCTGTCTCCTGGCAAAGAAATCAAGAACATAATCTTATCTCTAACTTTTAGGTTAAGTGTGTTCAATGTGTCTCTCCCCTCCCCTCCCCTCCCCTCTCCTCCCCTCTCCTCCCCTCCCTCCCTCTCTCCCTCCGTCCCTCCCTCCCTCCCTTCTTTCCTTCCTTCCTTCCTTCCTTCCTTCCTTCCTTCCCTCCCTCCCTCCTTTCTTCCTTTCCTTCCTTCTTTCCTACCTTCCCTCACTCCCTTCCTCTCTCCCTCCCTCTTCCCTTCCTCCCTCCCTTCCCTCTCTTTCTCCTCCTTTCCCCTCCCTCCTTTCTCTTTCCCCTCTCCCTCTCCCTCTCCCTCTCCCTCCCTCCCTCCCTCTCTTTCTTTCTTTCTTCTCTCTCTTTCTTTCTTTCTCCCTTTCTCTCTCTCTCTCCTCCTCGTTTTCTTCCTTCTCCTCCTCTTCTTCCTCTTCCTTCCTCCTCTTTCCTCTTTCTCCTCCTTTCTCTTCCTCCTTCTTTCTCTGCCTCCTCCTTTCTTCTTCTTCTTTTTCTCTCCAGGCTAGCACTCTACTATTTGAGCCACAGCTCCATTTCTGGCTTTTGTTTTGGTGGCTCACAGCCCTTCCTGCCTGGGCTGGCTTTGAACTTTGGCCTCAGACCTCAGCCTCCTGAGTAGTTAGGATTCCGGGGAGCCAGGGGTGGCCTCTGCTCCTCTTTCTGAGGAATGTAAGCAGGGGTCTCGCTGGGGTGGCGGGATGGCTTAGGTCTTGCTGTGGTGCCTCTGTCCGCGGCTGTCTGCATCTGTCTGCGTCTGTCCGCGTGTGGGCACTCGGCTGTGGAGAACTTCCCTTGCATTCCCTGAGGGAAAAAAGATACGGGGTTTCCTGCCACTGCTCTTCTGGCTTGGTGTTTCGCTTGGCAGCTGGAGCTGATGTGGGCGAGTTGGGTGATTTAGAGACGCTCCCTGGTGGGACCTTTCCGGAAGGCCTGTGCAGTTCTAGTGATAACCACAGAGCTTCAGTGCGGTGGGCACAGAGCAGAGCTGTGACAACCTTAGACCCTTAGAGGCCGGGAACCGCCCTCCAGTTTAAGCTAAAAGGAAGGCAGGGAATCCCCCTCAGGCTGTGTCACTGGATGTGTTCTTGACCATTTCTATTTGACCTCAAACCTATGCCCCAACTTGGTGGCATCCAGTGCGGGGGGAGGGGGGGGAGCAGGTGTGGAAGCCAGAGCTGGGAGACTCTCACGGGCATCTTCCTGCCCCCTCCCCCTCCTTCCTCCTGTCCCTTCCCAGCAAGCAGCTCCCTCCTGCTGCTGAGGAGCTAGGTCAACCTTCCTGTCCCGCAGGATTGTTTCCATCCCAAGGAGTAGCAGGCCATGGGTGTTCACAAAGTGCAGGTGTCATGGCGGACAAGGGCCTGGGGAATGCTGGGTCACAATACTACTGATAGACCAGAGTGGTCAGGAAAGGTCTCTGCTGAGAAATCTTTTGTTATTATATAAAACAAGTACACATTTATAATCTATCTATCTATCTATCTATCTATCTATCTATCTATCTATCTATCTATCTTATATATGTTCTATCATCTACCAACTTACCTAATAACTACTATCTATCATCTGTTTATCTTATCCATCCATTTATTCCCATCTATCCATGCATCCATTCTTTCCGTCCATCCCTCTATACACACATACATGTATGTTTTCTGGCCATGCTGGAAATTGAACCCAGGACTTTGCACATGATAGGCAAGCTCTCTGTTCCTGTACTGTACCCCAGCCCTGAGAAGATAATCCTTCCAGAAAGCGGCCATGGCTCAGGCCTGTCATCCCAGCTACTCAGGAGGCTGAGATCTGTGGATGGTGGTTCAAAGCCAGCCTAGGGCAGTTAAGTCCCTGAGACTCTTATCTCCCATGAACCACCAGAAAACCAGAAGTGGAGCTGGTGCTCAAGTGGTAGAGTGCAAGCCTTGAGGAGTTCAGGGACCCTGAGTTCAAGCCCATGACTGACAAAATAAAAAAGAAGAGTGAAGGAGCAGGCTGTGTGCACGGAGGCCTCTGCCTAGCAGCCGTGGCCATGTGATTGGGTTCTTTCTTTCCAGCAGAGCAAGGAAGCTGTGGCTGGAGAGGAGGCCAGGGGGGAAGGAGGGAGCCATGGCAGAGGGCTGAGGTCCCCAAGGGAACCTGTACACTGGGCTTTCCCATCCTGCCAGGCAAGCCTCCAGAGGGGGCCAGGTACGTGGCAGAGGGGAGGGTGCAAACCACCGGTGGGCTGGGAGCCCTGCGGCCCTTCCCCGGCCCAGTGGAAGGAGTCAGCGGCCGTCACGTGTGCTCTGCACACCCACAGACACGGGGCTGGCAGCCAGGATGGGGGGGAGGGCGTGGTGCGGGCAGAGGGGCCGGGTGTGGAAAGGGCGATGTGAAGAAACACATCCAGCCTACTGCCACACAGCCCAGCCTTGTTCGTCTTTCACTTTCAGACAGGGCCGCTCCCCTGGGGTGCCTCACCCGTGTATGGGAATGCTGGCGTCTGTTGGGCATGGAGGTCACCGTAGGTTTGTCCGGTGGCTGTTTGGTGGTCAGCGCGTCATCCTCCGATCCGCTGTGTTTATGCGATCGTTTCCTTAATGCTGCAGGCCCTTGGTGACCCCTGGAGTCTTGCGCGTCCATCCTCTCAGAAGCTTAGGCTGGTTTACAGACTTAAATAACGAATGTATCCCGGTGGGCTCACCCCCCCCCCACTGTGCACGTTAATGGTGTGGTTTTCAAAGGAAGTCATCTTTTCGGCAACCGCTTATGCCTTGTGTAGCTTCTCCGAGTGCGGGTGTGCATCTTTGGCTGAAAGTGTGGAGCACACTGAGATGGCTGGGTAGTTTATCTTTTGGCTTCCTGTGTGTCCTTCGTGGGGAATTCCTTTGGACAGCCCTGTGGTGGGGGTGGGGGGGGAGGGTGACATTTGTTCAGGATCACACTGGCTGTACATACATGTTTATTCACTCTCGTGTGTGGTTCTCAGAGTTCCTGGCGAAGAGACAAGAGGTCTCCCCCTCCCTCTCCAAATAATCGGTGCCCCATCACCTGCTGGTCTGTAATTTTATTTATTTTCCGTTGTGGGAGAGCCATTGCTTAAAGGGAACGAACAGTTTTTTGTTACTGTTCCATACACTGGGATGGAGTGAAACAAATGAAGCCCATCAAAAAGCCAGACAAACGCCACTTCAGTCCAAGACAGGAGGAGGTGTGTGAGGGTCGAGAGTCCCCAGGCCAGCATGTTTTATAATGCCCGGCTCTGAAGTCTTGTAGATCACTGGCTAAATCATTGCTTATATTGAGATTTATTTGCATTGAGATCTGAAGTTATTTGTCTTTTTCCCAATGATGTATTTGAAAGGGTTTGGATACACAGTGGTTAAAAAAACTTCCCCGGTTTTCTTACACAATGGAATATTACTCAACTGCTAAAAAGGGGTGATCTAGACAATGGCTTGGATGATTTCAGAGGTGCACACTGAGGGGAAGATGCCAGTCCCAACAGCTGACATACTGTTCAATTGTGTTAACAAGAGGCTGTAGAAAAGATGAAGACCGGAGGTTTCCATGGCTTAGGAATTGGGGAAAGATTTTACCATGGCATGTGTGTGTGTGTGTGTGTGTGTGTGTGTGTATGTGTGTGTGTAAGATCAAGGTTATTCAAATCTATGCATTTGGTCAAAACACATGCCACAGTCAGGATGTGGCTCATGCTTATAATCCTTAGCTACTTGAGAAGAAGAGATGGTGAGGGTTTGTATCCAAGGCTAGCTTGGGCAGAAAAAAAAAGAGACCATCTCAATCAACAGAGAGAGCCAGTGGTCTGTGCCTGTTAGCTAGTTCCCCAGCAGCCCAACATGGGTGAATTATTTTATACTCGGTATAATAATTGTATAGCAAGAGCCCATCCGAAAGATCACCAATAGAAAATCAGTGCTATGATTTGTCCCAGCACAAAAATAAACAAATAAAAACAAAGATAAAAAGCGTGATATGCTCACACACAGACAGACACATCCATTTTTACTGGGTATTAATTTGCCTTACAGTGAGCTTGCAAGCCACATGGCCAGCCATTCTTATGGAAAACATAAAAATAATCACGGAATGCCTAGCATCCTAGCTACTCAGGAGACTGACACCTGAGGATTGTGGTTCAAAGCCAGCCTGGGCAGGAAAGTCCATGAGACTCTTCTCTCCAATGAACCATCAGAAACCAGAAGTGGCGCTGTGGTTCAAAGTGGTAGAGTGCCAGCCTTGAGCTGAAGAGCTCAGGGACAGAGTCCAGGCCATGAGTTCAAGCCCCACATACTGGATTAAAAAGGAAGTGATCCCCCAACCCCATATTGGAAAACGGAAGTCTCTTATTTCATTAGAGAAGATTTCATTCCAGAAGAGATAAGATGGTGCGCGTCCTACTCTGGGGGAAATTTGAGGCTCTATGCAACACCCCTGGAGGAAATGTTCAAAGCCATGTGTCTCCCAGAGGCCGTTGCTGGTCTGTGTGTGCACATGGGACACTTTGCTGTTCTTTATGGGACTTCCGTCACCTTGCTCGGTGAAGCTGCCTATGGTGTGTGTCCGTTACAGCGGCTGTGAGATCCTGTGGCTTTATCTGTGGGCCACACGGGCCAGTGTGAGGTATTCCCGCCGAGTTTCCTCGTGGCATTTCTCTAGATCCCAGAGGGATCTGTATCAGGGACAGGCAAATATCATCCTGCCAAAGGGGGAGGCTGCTGAGACAGGAGAACCCGGACAGACATCCAGATCCCTTCGCCTCTTTTTTTTTTTTTTGGTCAGTCCTGGGGCTTGAACTCTGGGCCTGGGCGCTGTCCCTCAGCTCTTCAGCTCAAGGCTAGCGCTCTACCACTTGAGCCACAGCGCCAATTCTGGCCTTTTTTCTGCTTAGGTGGTGCCGAGGAATCGAACCCAGGGCCTCATGCATGCGAGGCAAGCGCTCTACCACTGAGCCACCTTCCCAAATCCCCCACTTCCCCTCTCAATAGCCGGCTTTTTGTTTTCTTTTGCAGAAGCTGCATGGTGGTGGCAGTGGCGGCGGCGATCTCCAGGCTCCTGCGGCATTGCGACCTTCCGAAGAGTCTGTGAGTGTCCTTCCCCAAGCACTAACACCAGAGCGGGTGCTGTGGACACTTGCCCTCAGTCCTTTGGATTTCTTTGCCTCTTTTTTATTTTATTTTTTTTGTCGGTCATGGGGCTTGAACTCAGGGCCTGGGCGCTGTCCCTGTGCTCCTCAGCTCAAGGTGAGTGCTCTACCACTTGAGCCACAGCGCCACTTCCAGTTTTCTAGTGGTTTATTGGAGATAAGAGTCTTACGGACTTTTCTACCTGGGCTGGCTTTGAACCTCGATCCTCAGATCTCAGCCTCCTGAGTAGCTGGGATGACAGGCGTGAGCCACTGGCACCCGGCTATATTTATTTTTTAAATTTCTAACAGATGGCCCAGTATAGCCACCTGCCACAACGAATGGCCCACAGGTTTCAGTGTCCAGAGATGAACTCGGGGCTTAGTGATTGGGTCAGGCTGGAACAGTAGCATCCATGCAGGGGTGTGAAGTGAAGGAAGCAGAGCCGACAGCCAAGGCTAGGAGGGGTGGTGGTGGTGGTGTGCTAGCCGCAGGGCCGGTCGATTGAGTGTCTAAAGAATGGATGAGCTCTGTTTGTCCTTCTCTGTGAAGAAAGGCACAGATTTGCAGCGGCTCAAATGCGTCCGTCCACTGGATTCATAGGAAAGACAGGCAAAAATGGGCCTGGAGTTTGGCATGAGAGCCCCGGGTGTTGATGAATTCATGGAGATGGAGGAGACCTGGGAAGCCCCGGGCAGACAGAGGACCCTGTACGGATGCAGTGAGGAGCATGTATCTCATGGACCAGAGCCACTGAGGGTTTCCCCCATGGAAACTACCCCATGTGGAGCAGTGGGTATTCCCCATGGGTAGTGGGGAGATGTGGGGAGGAAGAGGGCGATGTGTGCTCTCCAGGAGTGCCAGGGCTTCCGTATTTGGCAGGAACCAGCGCTGTAGCGAATCCCTGCATGTGGCCATATGATGCGTTTTGCAAGCTCACGGTCGGTGAGAGGCTACGGAAGCTAGCCTGGCACGCATCCAACCACTGGACCGTTGATCCTGCAAAGATGTGGTCACGTTTGCCTTTGGTATCTGCGTTGTACCCCACTGGGGAGAGAGATAGAGAGGAGTTCGTTAGAAAGCTAGTGTCAGGGGGCCGTGACACTTCGGTGTGAGTTGGAGGCGTCGCTTGTACCTTTAGGCCCAGGACCTGACGGAAAGGCTTGTTCTATTCTCTGCAGATGCTCAGGGAAGCCGGGGATGGCCTGAGCCACCTCCCCAGCCCCTTCGCCTACCTCCTCACCATCCATCTGAAGGAAGGCCGGAACTTGGTGGTGCGGGACCGCTGTGGTAAGCAGTCTGCTCGGGTCCCAGCCCTGGGCTTTGCAGCTCGTACCCTTCTTGTGGTGTGGCTATTTTGCTGGAAAGGCTGTGAGCGGATCATTTCCATCTCGGTAGAGGTCAGGACCTGGGGAGCATTTGTGGTAATCATACTAATAATCACACAAGAAGTTGTGTGTTAGCACATAATAACAGCTCAAGAAAGTGTTTGCCTGTCAGGGAGATAAGAGATGGCTGGAAAGCGCTGTAAGCCGTCTATTTTAGCCACCAAAAAATCCCATTCTGTTTCTTCTCTTAGCTGTTATGTGACCCTCAGCTCTTCAGCTCAAGGCTAGCACTCTCCCACTTGAGCCACAGCTCCACTTCCAGTGTTTTCTGTTTATGTGGTGCTGAAGAATTGAACCCAGGGCCTCACGCACGCGAGGCAAGTGCCCTATCACGGAGCCACCTTCCCAGCCCTTGAATTCCTTTCGAAAGAATGGACTTCAGAATTCTTCTGGACCATAGAGTTCCTCTGATCTTCCCTCTCTCCTCCCCCAATCCCCCTCCCCTCTTTCCTTCCCTCTCCTCTCCTCTCCTTTCTCCTCCCATCTCCCTTCCTCTCCCCTCTTCTCCCTTACTGGGACCCTGACTTAGTTTGGGGGAGGGGGAGGGAATTGCTGCTGAGCTGGTGGAGTTCATTCTAGCAGCCCTGGGTTCTAGGCCGCATTGAAACCCTGTGTATTTCCTTCAAGCTGGCCAACTACAGGATGGCAGTTCCTTGGTTGGCAATTGAAAGACTATCACGGTGTTTGTGCCCTCTGGTGGTCATGTTTTAGTATCGCAGAAAGGAAAACAAACCAATTGATGTGCATGATTAACATTTCTAGGACCATTAAAAAAAAATCTCTTTGCAAGTATGGGGTGAGGATGGTGATCTTTTCTGTACATGGGTGTTTGCCCAGGAAACAGCTCGCTTTTCCTGTATTTCCAACACATGTAGATAATGACATTTGTTTAGTATGCAATTTCCTCTACAAATGACAGGAAGAAAAATATGACATTAGATAAGACATTTTCATGCTTGAATGACTTAGAGAGGGGTTTAAATATGTCCCAGTAAGAAGAAGATTCTGCCACATTCTTAGGTATCAATTACCAGATTGTTACAAAGGTAGCTCCATGTAAGGCACTTTGGACTACAGGTCTGTTTTGCTATTTAGTAGGCTGATTTGTATGATTATATCATTTTTATGGTGGCAATTTTGCTTTATAAAGAAAGGTAGCCAGGTGCTGGTGGCTCACGCCTGTAATCCTAGCTACCCAGGAGGCTGAGGTCTGAGGATCATGGTTTGAAAACAGCCTGGCAGGAAAGTCTGTGAGACTCCTAATCTTTCATAAACTACTCAGATAAAGCCAGAAGTGATGCCGGGGTCAAGGAAAAGACTTCACAAATATATGGAGACAAACATGAGAAAAGCAGATGGGGAGAAAAACGTATCAGTAGATAATTCTTAGAAGTTTGAGTGGAACGCACATGTAATGATGTGATTTTTTTTTTTCTATTTGGGCAATAACTGAACTTTGAACTTAGGAGCCTGGCCTTTGTTTGGCAAGTAGGTTACTGGCTGATAAGGTCCTGTATTCTAGTCTCAGACCAGCCTCAGACCTTGATTCTCCTACTTGTAGTATCTTGCCTAGCTGGGACTACAGAGTGTACCACCATGCCCACCCCAGATCTGACTCTTGTAATTCTATCTTCATTTTCTAAAGCAAAATATCACCTCGGTTTGATATTGCTGAATTATACCTGTGCTTATCCCTCTAATGTTTTGAGTTGAAAGATTGTGGTTTAAAACCAGTTGACAGGAAATGACTAGAGCAATATGCTGAGCTAGAGGCATGGCTCAGGTGGTAGAGTGCCAGCCTAGCAAGCAGGAGAAGCAAGTGAAAGCCCTTGACTTCATGACTCTACATTTCTCTCCTTCCTTCCTTCCTTCCTTCCTTCCTTCCTTCCTTCCT